GACATTTTTGTCCAGCACAGCCACTCTCCGCCATGGAACAGGGTGACCGGTTCAGCAGCAGAAAAACTGCTGAGCAAGCAGTTATGCAGAGTCAGGGCCCCCAGTCGACAGGCCAGAAGAAGAGCCGAGCACCAACCTCCCCACCAAGCCAGTGCGGGCACGGCGAGGGCTTGGGTAATGAATGTTTATAAAGAGACTGGGGACCCTGAAAGGAAAGACTATTCAAAATCCCCAAAGTATTGTTGTCAGCAGCCGGAATGACCTGCTTTTGAAGGTAGCCATCATCATCAAGGGTGCCGAGCGCGGCTGGAGTCTTCACACACCCCGGCTGATCTCATCTTCGATGGCCCCACGCGGCAGGTTTGGGTTTCCTTCTTTTGGTGGGTGTCTTAAAACTAAATGTAATCAATCCTCACTGTACAGATGAGAAAATCAAATTCAGCAAAATTAAGTCACTGGCTAGAAACTAGCAGGGCTGAAATCTGAGACTAATTCTTGCTAAGTATAGAGGCCTTCTCTCTTCTCTTCCATCTCTTCCTGCATTTAAAGTAAAACTTCATTTGAGAATACCTATGGCTTTTTTGACTGTTTTTTAAAAAAGGAAGTCTAGAAATATCAAGAAATGCACAAATTTCAAGTTCATGATGTGATAGGTTTTGACAAATGTATACATCTTTTATTTAAAAGACATCTTTTAAATAATTTTTTTTAAAAAAAGCAACAAATAAAATAAGCTAATTTCCTTTTGACCAGAACAATCTTTTTGTGGCATTGGACATGAGGTTATCATACCCATGGGGTCAGTCGCTTAAGTAGGCACACCGGGAATATCCAAAAGGGAAATCCCAGTAAAACTTTGTGCCCTGCTGATTCCATCGCCATGAGCATAAGGTGGTAAGTAGATCTGGACTCGAGAGAGATGGTACTTCCATGTCCGATGATCACATCATTTGAGCTCCTACCCATGTGTCAGGCATTAGACTGGCATCCTTTAGAACACACAATCTCATTTAATCTTCATCATTAGTACCTTCGTTACAGCACAGAAAAATGGGGCTCAGAGAGGTTAGGTAACATAACTAAGAACACAGAGAAAATGGCACCTTTAAAATTCAAGTCCAGGAGGGTCTTTATAGCATCTTTACAGATGTTGAGGAGCAAGTTTTAAAAGCCAAACCCTGAGTGGGCTGGTTATATTCATTCAACTAACAGTGCAGGGGCATGGCCCAAGTGCCCAGCTCTGCACAGGGTAAGATGGAAGAAGAATGAGCGAGACAAGGGAGGGCTACTGGGAAAATCATGCTCAGACCACATCTTCAAGGATGGTGGAAAGGGGCCATCCCTGGAGTTTCCATACAGTAACTAACATGTACAAAGGTTGCCCACTCCTTATTTAGCTTTGGTAAATCAATTTGGGAAATTCAAATTTTCAAGCCCCCACAGAAACACCCCTCCCCCCTGGGACCTTTCAGCTGTTGCCCCAACTCCTAAACAGCTGAAAACCAACCCGAGAGAACCCCAGCTCTGAGGGCTGTTCACATCACCCCAGAGTGCAGGATCTACACGCCCATACCGGGATTCCTCAAGGTCAACCATCTTGCTTGCAGAGGTGAGTCCCAGGTGACCAGTTCTGTGATTTCTCACGCTCGGCAGTTTAGCAAATTAGAAGGACAGACAGGTGGAGAGATTGGCAATAAGAAGAGGGAACCACACTAGAAAGACTCACACAGGTGATTCAAGAAACTCACAGCACAACAGCTCCTTTCAGGACACCTTTGTGTTACAGAGTTCAGTAGCTCACTCAATTCAACAGGCATCTAATAAGCTCCAACTGTGTACCAGGCCCTCCCCTAGGCTTGATAGAGGTTATAAAAACATGTTACAGCCCGGCACCCTATTGCACGCCTGTAATCCCAGCGGTTTGGGAGGCTGAGACAGGAGGATAACAAGCTCAAAGCCAGCCTCAGCAATTTAGCAAGGCACTAAGCAACTCAGCAAGACCCTGTCTCTAAAATACAGAAAAAAAAAAAAAGAGCTGGGGATGCAGCTCAGTGGTTAAGTGCCCCTGAGTTAAATCCCCAGTACCAAAAAAAAAAAAAAAGTAAAATTCAGTACAGCCCAGTTCCATTTGGTAGAGACAAAGTATAAAAATGGAGACAAAAAGAAGTCAGGTTGTGAAGGGTCTCTGTTCAACTCTGCAGATAATGAAGGGAAGGAAGGGTGGCCTGAGGGCAGGGGACTCATCTGTCACTAAAGTCGTACAGACAGTGATTAAGAGGGTGGACCCTGAGGCCAGGCCTTCTGCATTCAGACAAACAAGATATTTAGTTCCCTGTTTCTCCCTTTGTTAAGGGGGATAAGAGAAGAACTTTTTCGAATAGAACATTGAGGATCAAATAGTCCATATGCGGAGTGAAGATGGACCCATGTCAGCTGTTATTACCTCTTACCCAGTGCTTGCTTATCCCCTAGCATTTAGAAACCGCTCAATAAATATTGATGAACAAATGAACTCATAAAGGAATAAATAAATGATACTACTGAGTTAAAGGGGGTAAATCTATTATAAAAGGTATGTCCTCCTTAAGGTTGGCAGCAAGAGTTTAATAGGTTTGTTATTGAACGTTTGTCTCAGATGCCTAAGACATTAATCACTCATTCCTTAACTCTTCTGCATACATGTCCTGCCACTTTAAATAAAGCCCCAAGAAAGGAGATGAAGAGATCACAATGAAATTACAGTACATCTCATGCTCGAGAAGGCTGAAGGTCCCCGAGACCCAGGAGTTAAGCTCTGTGGTGTGGGGAGCGCCTGATGGCAGCAAGTCCCAACCACCACACACTCACCCTGCCCAAAACCAACTCTGTGGTCTTCTCTTTCCTTAAATTATACTTACTCCAAAAAAGAATAAACACAAACACTGCCTTTAAAAGATGTTAAGGATCATAAAAGTAAAACCTATTTGAAAAACACAGGGGCTACTAACAGGGGTACAAGAAGACCTGGGGTGGAGCGTACCATATACCTAGCTCCTATTTTGCAGATGAGAAGGCGGAAGCCCAGAGAAGTAAAAGTGCCTGCCAGAAGGCACCACTTCAAGAGAACAGCAGACAGAGATGAAGCCCAGGGCCCAGATTTGCAGACAGGAGCCTCCTGAGGGGAATGCTGATCTCCCACAAAGGAAATCTGGGGGGAGGAAAAAGGAGAGGTTCCAGTCCAAGAAGGAGCATAGAGGGGGAGAAGGAGGGGTGGCCCAGGGTTAAAGGATGATTGAAACCCCACGCTGGGAGCACCCATGGGGAGAACATCAAGCCCCTCTGTGCTTTTTGGTGGAGATGGGCTTCCAAACAAAGAACAATCCAGTCCAAAGCTCCTGGGTTTTGCTGGTGACCCCCAGCCCCCCATGCTGAAGAAGCCCATACAAAGCCTAATGCTTTCTCCCCAGTGTTTCCATCCTCAGTCCGGATGGGGTGTGTGTGTGTGTGTGTGTGTGTGTGTGTGTGTGTGTTCCCTCCTCGCAGACATCTTTTTTGGGGTTGTGCCCTCCTTCTGCAGGCAGCAGAAGGGGTGGGGCTCTAGCAAAGAGATACAGAAGAGGATCAAAGCGGGTCCTTGGCCCCCAACACACAGACCCACACCTCATTCGCTTTGGTCCTTCCCCCCCTCCCCCACCTATGATCAAACCCAGGTGAAGGAATCCGGAGCTGCAGGGTCGTTTCCAAAAGGTTTCAGCTGGAGCCCCGCGCCTGCACGCCTGCTCGCTCCTGCGCACACTCCCAGGGTACTTACACAAGGGGCACACATCTACCGCATGCACACACTCGCATGTGCACACTCGGCCCCCCCAGAGGCCTAGCCGCGCCCACTGCATCTCTCCTTCAGCCCCCAGGAAACAGACAGGCAGCAACATGAATGAAATCTGCCCAGAGAGACTGCATTTCTGCTCCAACCACGCAACCTCCGGCCAAACCGCCGAATATGTAACAAAGTTTTATTTCGCTTTTCGAGTCTCCAGTTACGCTTCTACCATTTCCTGTGGAAAATTGAAGCTTTGAAGTGTCTAGCCCCGGCTTTCTCAGACAGGCAGGACCGCCAGCGCGAGCTCTCAAAAAACAAGGGCCCGGGTCCCACCCCCTCCGCCACCAGAACTGCGGGTTCAGACCCAGCAGCTGCGGCCTCCAGCACAGGGCGGTGCGAAGAAGGACCCGCGGGAAGCGACGCCCTAAGCTGATAACCCCCTCCCGAACCCCGCCCCACCACCATCCTGCTTGGGTCCCTCGTGGTGTGGCGCTCCTTCAGCCCAGTGGTGACAGCTGCAGATCCCTGCCGGAGGGAACTTAGACGGCTAGACCTGGGAGGTCGGAATTGAGGGCTTTGTCCACCGCTCAGCATCCCCCACCATCACCAGCTGTGTGCTCTGATCCCCCAAAAAACTGCCCGGGAAAAACTTGAACAGACCCGTCTCCTCGCTCACCCTCTGTTTCTAGGCCGAGCCAGCTCTTAACCCTTCTGCCTTTACCGCCGCCGACCCTCCTTCCCCCGTGGGAAGGGCCAGGTCTTGGGCCAAATAGAGAACTGGGTGGGGAGAGAGGAACGCGCCTCCTCCCGAGTCCTAAAGAGTCAAACCTGTGGGCACGGGAATGGGGCAACTTAAAGAGCCAAACAGGGTTCTGGAAGAAGATATGCACCAGGTGCAAAAGATCTCAAACCCGCTTTTTGAAAAATGGTGTCGGGTTTCGCCCACAGCAGACAGCCGCTGCCCCGCCCCTGGGGTGGGGGGCGGAACCCGGCGCTCCGGAACCTGGGCGGCTTCAAGTACGCGATCTCCAACACCGCGAAGAACGCGCGCGTTTCTGGCCGCCTCCTGCGCCGCCGCCCCCTCAAAAGCTTGGGGCAGTGGCTGGTGACCGGGAAAACGCGGGAGGGGGACGCGAGGCAAACTTGCGCCGAGAGTTAGCAGAGTTGGGTGGAAGGGAGAGGCACCCGCGCCACCACTTACCGCTGGCGTTCTTGCCGCAGATGAGGTGCTGGTAGGGCTGCAGAAGCCCCCAGATCTCGGAGTCGTTGTTGACCGTGTGCTCCAGGGTCTCCACGGTGAACTTGGGCGCCTCGTGGAGCGTGTGGTGGTGATGGTGATGGTTGGCTGCAGCGGCGGCCGGCGGGACTGCGGTGGCGGCCGCAGCTGGCGGGGCGCAACAGCTACTGCCCCCGCTGGCGCTGCTGGCTGCGCTGCAGGCGCCGCCGCTCGCCGCTCCCCCTCCGGGCGCCTCCCGCTCCTTATCCGCCGCGGGGGCAGCACCGGGGCCTGAGCTCGGGCCTGGGCCGGAGCTGGAGGCCGAGCCCGGGCCGCTGCAGCTCCGGGGGAGCCCGGAGGCCACTACCCGCGCGTAGATGTCCCGGAAGAGGCTCTCCATGCAGGCAGTCAGGTAGATGGCGGCGTGCTCGTGGATGCGCAGGGCCACGCGGCTGTCCACCATCCAGCGATACACACGGCCCACAGAGAAGGTGAGGCCGCAACGCGCCGACTTGCCGCGGCCCAGGCGGTCCCCGCCAGCACTGCTCATGTTGTAAAGGGACAGCGCGGCCAGCGCCGCCGCTGTGCAGTGCGCCGCCAGGCCCCAAGACAGCACGATCTCCATGGCGCTCTGAATCTCGTACTTGGTGCACTTGGCGAAGCGCAGGCTCAGGCGCTGCGCCTCTTTGGCGATGCGCACCAGCGCCCGGCTCACCAGCATCGATAGCTTCGCCAGCGCGTCCTTGGGCAGGCTGCCGGGTGCCACTGGGCCTGCCCGGGGATCCCGCGAGCGCAGCAGCAGCACCTCCAGCTCCTGCAGGGTCCAGGGGACCTCGTCGAGGTCCGGCAGCAACCGCGAACAGTGCTGGCCGGCGCAGTCCAGCCCCTCGGAGTCTTCCACCAGGGCAGTGTTGACGGTGTCAAAGCTGTTGTGCCGGCTGTGCATGGAGTCAGTTAGAGGCGGCCAGCAGCTCCCGCCATACGGGGACGCCGGGTGCGAGTCGGAACAGCACAGAGACAAGTTGGAGGAGCGCACCGAGTCCGCCGCGCCACCATAACCCGAGTCCAGCGTCAGATCCTCCAGCGTTCTTACCACGGGCTTCTTACCTCTCCTGGCCATCGCTGCGCCACTTCATGCTGCGGCCGACGGGGAGCCGAGTGGAAGGAGCAGCGGGCGCCCGGGTTTGTGGGGCAAGGGGGCTCCGCGCCACCTCGGCTCACTTTTCCACCAGGTGTTACCAGCACCAAGTGTCACTACTTTCGGCTGCCTCCCGGAGCTGAAGTGCACAGGGCAGACCCTGGAGTCATCTTCCAGAGCCTGGGCCAGAGCTGGGGCGCACTGAAAAGCGAGCCAGACCAGGAGGGAAGCTCCCTCCGGAACTCGCCCCTTTCATCCAAAATAAAAAGTGTCTGGCCTGGTCCTTCCTGGGCCTGAATGGGTGCAGAAGCTGCCGGGCGGCGTCTACAGTGTCGGTAGGATGGAGGCTGCCCCAGGTGCCGCCGCAGCAGCAGCTCGGCTGGCAGCTGGCTCCCAGCTCGCGGCCGCAGCTCTCTCGGTGCCCGCCCGCCCCGCACTGAAGCACCGCGGCTGCCAAGGCCGCTGCAAACCCTGCTGAACCTCAGCAAACCCCGGGCAGCCAGCTGGGCGGGCATATGCAAAGCAGGAAAGGCGAGGAGCCAATGATGTTGGAGGATGCTAATTACTTTGCCCTTAAAAAAAAAATCCTCCTTACCACGGGCCCCGCCCCTCAGACACGCCCCCGGCCCTGACCAAGGCCACAGGAAGTGGGGAGCGGCGGCCTAGGAATTGGGGGATCCGCGGGAGCATAAAGACGCAAAAGCTGCCGCCCTGCTGCTGCTGCTGTCCCGGCCCCTCGTGCTTCCGGCTCTGGTACCAGAACGGGAGGGTGATAGGTTTGGCAGGTGACTGTACAACCGAGGTGTGCTCCCCTCAGCGGTTCACAGAGTCTCCCTGAGGGTCATTTTCGGCCCCTGCCTTTTGGACTTCACGCTCCCTTTTCAAATCAATACTTGGAGATTGTTTTTCTTTCCTTTATCTATCCCCCACTTTAGGTACCCAAACCTCTGGAGCTTTCTTTGCTCCATGGGGGAAGGAAGAAAGCCAGGAGAGGGGAGAAGGGACCAGGGGCGATGGACGCCAGGGGTTTCGCTAACTGGGTTGCTGCATTGTTTGCTTGCTGGCTTCCAACAAGCAGGAGAAACCTGTGCGCATCCTTCAAAGTCTGGGTGGGGTCCTGGAGGGAGGACTCGTGCATCACTTGGAAGTTTTGGTGGGGCTTCTTCCAGCTAGCCAGCTGCATTTCTGTGACAAATGGCATTGTCGTGTTTATTTGTGGGTCCCCATGCATGCACCCTAGCAAGAAAAGTCTTTTTACATGGGAATCCCCAGCTCCCCACACAGTGCCTCTCAGTTTGGAAGTCCTCTCCTACAGTAAGCCCATTCAAATCTTCCCAAAGTAGCATGGTGCTTCCAGTTACCCTCACCCCTCTCTGTGGTGGATGTTGCCACTCTAGGTTGTCACAGTCTGCTTATTTGTCGGGATTCTACTCTGGGCTAGAGGTTTGCTGTGCACAGGCATGGCATAGGATAGGTGCTCAGTGAATATTTGTTGTAAATTGGTGAAGGAAGGAAGGACATGCTTTAAAACTGTTGTTTGAATGTTTAACAGGTATATGAAAAGATGCTCAGCATCACTAACCATCAGGGTACTGCAAATCAAAACCATAATGGGCTGTTGTTGGGAATGTAAAGTGTTACAGCCATTGAATAAAATAATATAGAAATTCCTTTTAAGAAAAATAAAGCTACCCTAAGATCCAGCAGTCTCACTTCTAGATATTTATCCAAAGGAAATAAAGTCACTATCTGGAAGTGCTGATTGCACTCCCACGTCCATTATAGCACCATACAATAACCAAGATATGGAAACAACTTACGTGTATGTGCATAGATGGATGGATAAAGAAATTATAAAGAAGATAGTTATGGTGGAATATTATTCAGCCTTTAAAAAGAAGGAAATGCCACCATTTGAGACCATATGAAGTACTGAAAGACAAATACTACATAATCTCACTTGCAACTGAATCTTTATGTTTTGGTTTTTTTTAAACAGCAGGATAGTGGTTACCAGAGGCTGGGCTTGGAGTGAGATACAAAGATACAAACTCTCAGTTAAAAGAGGAATAAGTTCTAGAGACCTAATGTAAGGCCTACAGTTAATAATGATGTGTCCTTGAAATTTACTATGAAGGTGGAGCTTAAGTTTTCTCATCATACACAGGAAAAAAAGGTAACTGTGAGGTGGTGGTATGTTAATTACCTTGATTGTTGTAATCATGCACAATGTATACATACATCAAAACATTGTGTAGTGCATCTTAAGAATTATATATATTGTCGATCATACCTCAATAACTGGGGTTGGGAGGGAAACCGGTGGATTATCTAATGTTTTTCCATATCTGTGAGCCCCAAATCAACCTATACCTACCATCCTAATACATTCTCATCATCTTTCACTTTGACTACTATTATTTTCTACCAATTGGTCACGTCTCCTGCCTCTTCTTTCTCCAAACTACCCAATCCAATAAACCTCCAAAACCCCAGCTCTCATTTTGTCATTCAAAAACACTTATATCAAAAAAATTCAAAGGGGGCTGAGATGTGACTCGTCTAGCACATACAAGGTGCTGGGCTTGATCCTCAGCACCACATAAAAAAATAAATGAAGACATTGTGTCCAACTAAAAATTAAAAAAAAAAATTCAAAGGTTCTCCATTGCCTTACAGGTGACCTGACTGTTGGGGATCTCACTCTGTGCCCAACTTAGATGGTCTTTAATGGACTGAATCCTGCCTTCCTCTGTGGCTCCTCTCCAGGCTTCTGAACACACGTGCTCAAGGAGACACACAGTTGCACCACACATAGAGATGCACACACACACGCATGTACACACGCATCCTAGGCTCTAGCCATCTGCATGTGCTTGCTGGGTTTCCAGGTTAGTATCTTGTCTGATGTATCTGATGGGCCCTTGCAGGTGCTACTTCCTCAGCCTACATTCTCTACCTGGTAAACATCTTCCTTCTCATCCTCCGAGACTCAGCTCTGGCTGCCTCCACTGGACAATATTCCTTGATGCTGCCTGCTCTCCTCCAGTCTAGACAGGGGTAGGTTCCCCCTCCCTGTTGCTTGGGGCTTGTTTCCAGGGCCCTGTTCCCTTCTCTGCACATTTCCCTGGGATCTCGTCTACCCTGTGCCTCCATTACCACCGATGTGTTGATGTGGCTTGGGTGACAACCTCTCAGCCTCTCGGTGGCTCACAGATAGCAAGAGAAGCAGGAAAAGCCTCATATATAGCAGAGAAAAGCTGAAAGCAGTGGGTTTAGAATCCATTCATCTTCTTCTGTGGCACTAGGTCAACGTGGATTCCAGGATTGCCTCTGCCGCTTTCCCCATCACACACTCTGAGGTCACTCCTTCGATCTCTTTGCACCTTTATTTTCTTGCCTTTGAAACTCCCCCCCCCTCATCACACCCACTTGATAAGGTTGCAGGGATTAAATAAGATCTTTCCATGCATAGATTTAGCACAAGGTTCCACCTGTGACAGTAGCTCTGTAAATACCTGTTAGTGTTTTTTACATCTGATTTTTGTTTTTGCAATAAACACTTATGGAGTACGTTGGAAACATCAGCAAATGTGAAATACATAATTCAATACATAATATCCTTCAAGGCCAGGAGGAAGTGCCCCTTCCTCTAGGAGACTTTGCCTGTCCTGTGCCTGTCTTCTCTCCCCTCCCAGATGGCATTCTCCTAAACGCAAGATCTTGCCCCTAACATAGTGTCAGTGCTGATGAACATGCTCCTTAGCACTGGAAAACCAAAACAAGCGTCTGACTAGTTTCCAAAAGTAGACCCTTTGCGATGCTGTTAAGCAACTGAAGGTGCGTGACCCCAAACGCTAATGATGAAAAAGCACACCAACCAATGTCAAAATTAGCCCCACGCTACTGGAAAATTCAGTTGAAGAAGAGGAGGAAGGAGAAGAAAAATTAAATCATTCAGAATCCTACCTCATGGAGATGACCAACATCAACAAGTCGTGTTGCCTTCAAGTCTTTTAAATTTTTCCCCAGACTTTTTCTTCTGAATGTGTATTTTTAAAAAAAAAAAAAAACACAATTGGGATTATTCCGTAAAATTATTTTGCATTCTGATTTTTCCTCAAAAAAATTTCTGAAACTTTATAGTACAGCCATTTCCCCCAAGTGATTAAATATTCATCCAAAATATTTTGTGTGACTAAAAATTATTGTATTGTATGTTTATATATTAATTGGTATATAGATTCCCCATTTGGTTGTTTCTGCTTATTAACAGATTTAAGTAATACTGAGTTGAACCTTTTTATACCTAAATAATGCTTCAAAACAACAAGTCTTACATACGCCATCTTCTAAGAAATGCAAAGAGAAAGTAAACATAAAACATTAAAAATAACTGCAGTTATTTTGCCTATCAGATTAAAAGTTATTTTTTAAAAATTCAGTCTTGATTAAAAATGTGTAGTGACAGAACATAAATCAGGGCAATCTTTTGGGACACTAGTTTGCTAATATGTATCTAAAATCACACTGCATGTTCCTTGTGACTTCCCAGAAACCATATCTTCTTACATTACTCAAAGGGATCCTTGTTGTTCTCAAGAGTATATAGGATGCTCTTGGTAATGTCCTTTTACCGTAGAATGTTGGGAAACAACCCAAATAGCTTTCAATAAGGACAAATGAAATGAATTAGAGTTCATTCATACAAAGGACTATTAAGCAGCTACGAAGAATAATGATGGTGACCTTCATTTCTACAAACTATTGGTGTAGAAGTTTGTTTTAAAAAAGAACCAATAAAATAAATAAAATATTCCATTTACAAAAAAGAATGCTCAATATACAGCTAACTTTGCATATAATCTTGACTGAAAACATGGAAATAATAGATATAAGTAGTTCAATGGCGTTCTGGTGATTTTTTTAAAGGGAGTTTTGTTTATTCTAGTCCTATTTCTGATGCTTTCTTCTTTGTCTCTCTTTTTAACATTGGAACTATTATACAATAAACAGCCTCATTTTTACCTGAGCCATATAGTTATTTTCAAAAGAAAATAAAATAATCTTCTACCCAGGATTTCTGAATCCTTCCTGTCAATCAAAGTGCTAACATAATACTTCATCCTTCAGCACTCCAGGAATTAAAAAGTGAGCACATTCGATATCTCAGCAACGGTAATGCAGACGAGCTTCATTCAGCTGAACACACTTGTTCAGTTCTGTTCTTCATCATGTGTTTTTTGAGCGTCTATCATGTAGGATTGAACCACGCAATGCTGCTTGGTTTTGGAGCCTTTTTCCTGTACTTACTATCTTTATGACCTCCAGCAAGTTCCTCAGCCTTTCTGCACCTAGCTGGGCCTCTGTTCTTCATCCTTTATTGGGTTTAGCAATGATACACCCCTCAAAGTCTCCACTTTGAGGTTTGCATAAGGTTGTATTGTGTCACCGACTCTAAGGACAGCACAGGCACAATGCTGGCTTG